TACCATCCCCTTCTTATCTTAATCATCCCGCCTGTGTTTATAAACAAAACACTGCCTCCCTGCCCCACGGGCTGCAACCTGAGCGCAGCACCTCTCATCTGCACAGCTCGTTACATTCCTGCTGCCTGCACAGCCCAGCTGCCAGATGTCTGCAAGGAAGCCCATGCAAGCTGTGACTGGAACAGCAGTGCAGAAGGGGCTGAGTGTAACCACTCGGCTTCCATCCCACATGGGGCAGGGATGTGCTGCCCAGTCCTTGTGGGTGGTGGTTGTTCCCATTGCTGCTCGCCCAGCCTCAGCCTTTCAGCTGGGATATTTACATCAAATAAATATGGGATGATGTGGGGAAATGTGGGGTGTGGGAAAATGAGCAGCCAATGGGGTGTCTGTAAGCTGCTGCCCTGCACAAACTCAGCAGTGAATGTGGGGATGAGCCACCTTATGAGCCCCTGATGGAGTCATTGCTGGAGGTCACACTGGGGTTCTGATACCCCCAGATGAGCCTAGAAATGCACGGAACCCATGGCAAACCTGCTGTTCCCGGGGATACTGTGAGTCCCCCCACCCGACAGTGTGGATAGAGGGGTGAAGAATGGCATGAGTAGCTCCATGGTTTTAAAGTTTTCCCTGTTTCTTCTACAGAATGTCCACCTGGTCTGCCTCTACTCCTTCACATGTCTGTGGTTGTCCCACCATGGGCCTCAGCTGAGCAGAGAGTAGGAAGCCCTCCAAGGCTGCTGTCATTTGCCTTCCCTCCTGACACTGGCTTGAGCCCCCGATAGCTCATCTTCATGCCAACCCTGCTGAGAACTGAGATGCTCCCTGCTTCAAAAGGTGAGGTGAGCCTCCGCGAACAGAAGAGCATCTTGTAAACACCCCAACAAGGGGCTTGGCTCGATACACATGTAAAAACAAACCTTGGCTACAACTTCAAAAGCCCCGTAGCTTAAAAAGCTGTTATGATATAACCTTGCACGTACACAAGTGCGTGCAGGAATGCCAGCTGCTGGAGGAGGCTGAAGTTTGCATCTGTTGGCCCCAAACACTGGGAATCATCAGGATTGCCAGATCTGGGACAGCCACACATCCCAGGGGATTGGGTCAGCACAGCCATGGCCAGCCAACACCTGGGGGAATTTCCTCTGGAGAGGTTTTTCTGTCCCTGCAATTTAGGCAAACATCTTAGAATCCTAGAATCATAACTCACTGGAGTTGGAAAAGACCCTTAAAGTCAATCTGGTCCCACTCCCCTGCCATGAACAGGGACACCCACAGCTCCATCAGTGCTCAGAGCCTCCAGCCTGACCTTGGGTGATCTGGTGATAAGGGAGAACAGAAGCCCCTCAAATGTGGCTGTGAGAGCAGGGAGCATGGGCAGGGTGTTCACTGGGATCTGCTCTCCTTACAGCAGGAGCTGGCAGGAAGGATGCAGGTTTTTCCTATTATAGCTTAGTCATGGGACTAATAAAGCTCTTTAATCGTTCGTCGCTTGTACGCGCACACGCACACAAAGGCTCCGAGCAAAAGTGTAGAGGGAGTGAGCACCTGGCAAAGATGTTATTGGCCATGTCCTATTTCTAAACTAATGCTTAAAAAAAATAAAAATCCAACACAAACTGCTGCCAGGAAGAGCTCAGCAGAGGTTCAAGGGCTGCAGTGAGGGATGCTGAGGCTGAGATGATGGAAGGGAGAAAGATGGCGATCCATCCCAGGGGAAAGTGGGCACAGAGCTTCTCGACCCCCCCCTTCTCGCCCCCACCCAAGTGCAGGATCTCCACCTCTTGATTCCAGACATCCCATCAATAAGGCTGCCGGCAATAGAAGCTTATCAGCCCATAAAACGCACCCTCCTGTGCACATATTCCCGGGGCAAGGCTGTGATAAGGGGTTCAAATGCAGGAAATGTGAGAGAGCACAATAACAAAGGCACATTGAGGAGGCCCTACACAAACAATGGCCCGTTCGTGGGCTAAGCAAGGGGCACAGTGAATGGCACCCATATTTCTACGGTGGAATCACACAAGCATCTGCAGAGTGTGATTCAGGTCACACAAAATAGACTTGGATATGACCAAATCTGCAGGGATTTGGCCCAGGAACAGCCTGGCTCAGCACTGGTGCTAAAAGTGGCTGCTGGAGCTTAGAGCTGAGCGAGACACAAGGAAACATCTGAGCATCACATCTGGTAGAGCCCAGTGATACTAATTTTTTACAATTATTTTTTAGTTTGTTGTGGATGTACTGCAACAGTGAACGTTACTCAAATATTTGTGAAGTCAGGGCTGGTGCACTCCGTGTGCCGGCAGCTTCCTCATGTTTTTTCTCAGAGCCCGGAAAAAATCAACCCATCTGCAAGGGAAAATACTTCAGTGACATGTTTACTTTTTTCACAGCTTGTTTTCTCGCCTGGATGGGAAAAGCCTGAGGCCATCAGCGGGGCTCCCATCCCGTCCCGCTGTGGGCTGGCAGGTGGCAGTGCCCTGCAGAGTTTAAGGTTTCATGGCAGAGGAGCAGGGTGTCCAGGTTTCCATTTGAATCCATCAGATGAACCAAGTGTCCCAAAGCCGTGCTCTTTCAGTGTCCGTCCATTCAATCTATCCTGCTGGTGGCTGTCAGCTGGGAAACATTCCCCTGTCACCAACCTGACCTTTAGGGATGCCATGACCCAAAAGCCAAAACTCTTCCACGTATCACATTAAATAAACCGAGTGCAATACTCTATCTGCACAAGCAACATTTCCAGTCCCTTAATCATTTCTGAGGCTCTTTTCCTGGATTTTCTTTTTATACCATCCTCCTGCTTGGCCAGGGGACCCCAGAGCAGGGACACCGCTTCCCCCACTGCCACAGCAAAGACCAGGGATGTGCCTGGAGTTGCCACAGTGCTCTGCAGCCACACACATGGGCACTCCAGGATCCTGGCTTCCCTTTAGGGGAACACGGAGATGTTTTTTAGGGATTGTCCCACTAAAATGAGGCCAAAACCCACAGTTCTGCCATGGCTTTCACATTTTTAGATTCTTTGCAAGGTTGTCCCGTTCTATAAATACATCTGCCCTTTTCATTCCTAGAACTCTCTGTGGTTGTACTAAAAAAAAAAAAAAAGCCCTTTTTGGCTTGCACCAAGCTGACTTACCATCTAACAGCCATTTACAAATATTATCCAAAGGGTTTCATTTTTTTCCACCAAACAGGTAAAGCTGGGGAGGCTCAAGAGCCAGTTTCTGTGCAGCCCTGCTGGAAAAGCAGCTGTGTGACCACATTTCCCCCTGGCAGCAGCATTTCATAGCCCACAGGCACCCATGTTTGACCTCCCATCAGCATACATGGTGGTTTTACATCACTGGTGTTTATCAATCCGTGTATCAATGTAAGTGGTAAGCTCCACTCTGGCTCCATTTGTACCACAGCCAGACACCAAATCAAACCACGCAACAAGGCCTGTTACACTGACAGTATCATCTTTATCAGCCCAAATCCTAGCCCTGCAGAAACGAAGAATTTAGCAAAGATCTATTTTCATCATCTGCTGGGACTGGCATCAGTCACACCCCTCCTTTAATTAACTTCACATTGCTTTCTGTAAAAGCTCTCTCAGTATGTCAGCCTTGATGGATGTCAAGCTGGCAGGCTCTAAATAACCCCAGGGGCCCTATTGCCCTTTTCAAAATACTGACTTCTTTCTCGACCTCCTGTCAGTTTGCCACATAGGAGAAAATGTTGGAGCTGGGAGACCTAAACAGCAGAGTGCCACATCCATGCACAAAGACAATGGGTACCAATGGGCACTGGGCACAATGGGTCCAGAGACATCCCCCAGGCACAGACCCCATGAGCAGGATCTGGAGGCAGGCAGTGGTTTTATGGTGCGGATAAACATCTCCCAGGGTCTCACCAGGATTTTTCCAACTCTTTTCCTTTATGAGAGAGGGGGTGAGGCTTTGACCCCAAGCCTTCCCAAGTGTTGCTCTTAAGCATTAATCCAACAGGGTGCCTCTGTTTCCATGACCCTATTTCCACTCTCAGCGTTACAATCCTCTTCAGCTCCATGAGCTGTTCCAGATGTTTTGGAGTTTGGTTAAAAACTCCAGAAAAGAGAGGAAAAAAAAAAGGAAAGAAAAGGGATTGCTCCCAGCAGCTGGATCCGAAGGAGAAGGAGGAAAATGAGGGTGTGAGGAGCAGAGTCATGGTGTGGTAACCTCTCCCCAAGCTGCATTCTGCATCGTGTACAAAACAGGATTGATCAAGTGCTCAGGCAGATCAGATTGTTTGTGGAGATTGGGGGTGGAACCCTGCAGCCCCTCTTCCATCCCATCCATGGGAGCCATGCCCTGGCAATGGCTGATGGACATCTCCCTCTATGCTTCATCCCTGCATGGAAACTCATTATCAGCCTTGATGGGAGTGCAGCTGAGCGCAACACAAGGAAGAGCTGCAGGTATATCCTCAGCTCCCAAGCCTTTCCTCCTCCTGAGCTCCAAGCAGATGGACCTTCAGCCCCACTCCCCAGCTCAGCTCTATGAGCAGGAACATTGCAGTCAGGATGTGGGTATGTCTGCGGTGAGCCTCAGCCTTCCCTGGATGAACCCCTTCACAGGACATGAGGCATCTCCCAGCACTGTGCCCTTGTTAGCAGTTTACGACTGTTCCTTTCACTGAAATCTCACACACACTAATGGTTCACTCATAAACCACCCTTCATGTCCCCACTGAAATTCTCATGCTTTGCACAGCTATATCTGTAACTACATAGGAATAAATTATATATAAGCCCAACACCAGAAATAGAGAGGGACTGAATCAACAGCCTCCACCCAAGGCACTGGGAGCTGAATCTGTGGCTGGAGCCCATCTGCAGCTATAAAAGCCAATATGAAAATAAAGAAGAAACCAAATGACATGGCATCTCCTTGCCTTGACCACAGGCTCCCTGGGGCACTGACTGTCTTATTGTTCATCTCAAGAAGAACAACTTTGCTGTCTGCAGATGAGGAGCTGGAGGAGGGTCAGGGAGTCTCTCTGCGGGAAGGGGCAGAGGGAAGCAGAACTCCCGAGGGGGATCAGGGTGAGCAGCAGGATGAGCAACAGCAAACAGGGCTAGAGGGAAGGAAAATGTGGTGCCACCAGCTGCCATCTTGGCTTAACCTGGTGCAGCCTGGGTTCTGAGGCTCTACCACCAGGCAGCTGGTGCTGGTAGCAAGCCCTGCATGGTGGCACAGCTAAGGGCTGCTGGGGGAGAGGAGAGAAAGGATTCAGGCTTCGGGTTTAGGTGTTTGGCTGAAGAGGTCTTTCAGGCCCTGTGTGGGTCTGGAGGGAGTGAGACTGGTAGACTTTGCTCCATCCCCAAAACCCACCCAACTTGGGATGTTACAAGTCAGTGACATGAACGTGCTTCTCTCAGTCTGAGCTATCCTGATCACATCAGGAAACAAATACACTTGGTTCCCCAAATGGGAGGACGTTTTTTTTGACACCATCGTCATTTTTCGAGTTTCAATCTTTGTCAGCAGCCCTTCCTCTTCCTCCCTGCTCTCCAAAATAGCAGAAAGCTGCATCCTCCCCCCCACTGCCTCGCAGCTCGCTGCAACACCCCGATGCCAGCCCCAAGCAGCAGAGGTCACATCTCACGTGGTGAGGACCAAGACTCCAAGCTCAGGGTTTGCTGACTTGGTAGTCAGGCAGATCATTGTCTGGAGTCTTGCTGGTATTGATCCCCTTCAGAAGGGCCTGCCAAGCCAAAAAAGCCCTTCTGTACACTCATCTCCTGTGTATCATACCCCCATCGCTGCAGGGGCTGGGATGGACACAGCCTCTAGGATAGTTGTTGTCAGGGTTTCAATCTTGAACATTGGAAGGTCTGTGTGATCCCTGCATGCCACTGTGATTCCTTATGCCAACAAGCCTTGCAAAGAGCTGGTGGGATCCACGCATCCCGATGTCCCCACACACAAACCATCCACATGGAACCTGCCAAGAGCTTCCAGAGCTCCAGCTCAATGGATGCACCTGTGTCTGATGTATACTCAAACCTCAGGAAAGGAGATCAGCTCCCTCCTTTTACCCAGCTCCGGGCTTCCCCCTCCTCTGCCTCCTCCCCAACAGCAGCTGCAGGCGCACGACTGCGGCTCCATCCCACGCACAGCTCCCGGGGAGGAATGCAGCCTTTGATGATATGTGGAACGTGGCTGCCTGTGCCGTGCTCAGGCCTGTTGCCACGTGGGTCCCTGTCCAAGGAGCTGGCATGGGGCTTGCAGGGGAAGCATTAGCAAGAGGCCGTCGTGCTGTTACTTGTGGGAGTGAAAGCCTGCGGCCAAGCTGCAACCCCTCCACAGTTGTGCCTCCTCTCCTGGCTTTTTAGGGTAGTAAATCACTCAGCACCAAATCAGAGCCACTTAGACCAAGGAAACCTGGCCCTCAAAGCCTCACCTCACCTGGGAAGTGCTTCTGGATTGACAGTACTTTTTGATGAGGCTGCAGGGGATGGAATGGGCTTTGCCAAACCTGACTCCATCCCCAGGAAGCAGAAATTCCCCGCATCCAGACTGCAGTGGAGAAGGGAGGGCTCGCATTTCTCCCCTCTCCATCCCAGGGCTCTGTCATTGCTTTAGCCATGACTCAGAGATCCCACGGGGGCCACACACAGCACCCACACTCTGACACTGGGGACCACAGGGACCCTGCACCAGCACTGCTCCTCCCCATCCATCCTGGGGAGAAGGAGGCAGGTGTCTTCCTGGGGAGTTTGGAAGGGATAAACCAGCAAACACAGCAGGGCAAATACTTATGGCTGATCAAATATTGGCTCAAGGAACCCTGGGTGGTAAACACACCCTGCACCAAGCCTGGCTTTCTGACAGAACATCCATGCCCTGACTGCAGCAGGGCCAGAGCATGCAGCCAACCTGGGCCAGGGGAATGGAGGTGGCTGCAGCCTGAGCTCATCCACCCTCTGTTGCCTCCTGCTTGTCACACAGAGAGCTCCCTGGCTCACTGCTGGAGCCTGAATGTCCCACACCACAAGCAGCAAGGTACCAGCAAGCAGCGCCTGGTGGGATGCCCATATAAGAGCAAACTTGAGCTCCAGAATATACGCAAAACTCCTCTTTCATTTACTCATTTAACCCAGCGGTGCTGGAGCTGATAGTGGCGGCTTCCTTTCAAGCAGACGCCAGTTATAAATAAAATAAACCAGGCGAGCTTCGTGCTTCCACTGTGCCGCCTTTCATCCCCACTCCTCAAAGCTGCCCCAGAGGAAAGTCCCAATGAGGGAGCAGGAAGCAGCAGGCCTTGGCCTCAGCTGCACTCCTGCAATGCATGGCCCAGCAAGGAGTGGCACTGCCATGCACAGAGAGGAAGAGATTTGTGCCATCATTCACATGCCTGCAAACAGGAGCTCATAACCAAGAGTTGCAGCCACACTGGAGGAGCACCACTTCCCCTTCCCTAGACAAGAGGACCACGGGACAACACTGCCACTGCACCAAGGCATGGATAAACAGACACAGGGTGGGACCCAATGCCTCAGCAGCTCGTTAGGGCCGTGCTGGAGCTGACACTTCACAGGGCCGGGCACAGGCAGCGTGTGCCAGTGGGTGTGAACTTTCCCATGTCTCTTGCCACCTTGCAGAGTGTGATGTTTTTCTTTCCTTGGGATTTTTTTAGGCTGAACTCGCTCTGCAGGGCGCTTTCAGAGGGACAGCGGTCTCTTTAAGAAGCTGCAAGGAGAGGTGCGGGCTGCAGAGCAGAGCACAGCCCGGAGCGGAGGCACAGAGGTGTTGCATCAGGCTGCGCTGGCATCAGATCCGTGCACTGTTTGTCTGATGGTTATCATTCGTCTAAGGGATCTGCCCGGAGTTTCCAGCCCTCTTCTGGCAGGTCCTACAAATTGCAACGTGAAGCGAGCAGAAACAGCAGTTAGCAGAGGCTGTAGGGTGGGGATGCCCGAAGCACAGTTATCCCCAACCCCAAGGCAGCCAGAACAGGAAGGACACAACCCCAGCTCTGACACGGCTGCTGGTTCGTTGGACAGAATAAGAAATGGAAAAGGAGACGTGAGACATTACTGAGTTGGTGGAGCAAATATGGCCAGCCTGCATCCCCCCATATCAAAAAATACATAATTCCTAGGCTAATTATTGCTAGTTCTTTAAGGCTTCAGGCCTGGAGGCCCCTGTGCTAATAATCCCAAGGGAGTTACCAGGGGTGGCTCCCAAGTTTCTCCATCCCTGAGCAGCAATGGGACAGAGGAGCGTGGCTCTGGCTGCAGCCCAGTACCAGGTTCCAAAGCATCCCTGCATACACCAGTCCAGTGCCTCGTTGGTGTATTTTGGGCACGTGGGCTGATCTGTAAGACACCAGTAGGTGTGTATCACTGAGGTTTCCCAGCTGCTACATACATATGCACGAGTACATATAGGGTCAGATGTTAATAGAGCATAGGGCCATGCAATAGCATCCAAGGGCATCCACAGCACTATAAGAGGTATGGACACAGCCAGGTCAGCGTGCTGTTGTTTCTGGCTGGCAGGACAAAGAAAATACAGAACGACATGCAGCACTGCAGGGAGAGTATGCCTCATACCAGGGCACAACTGAGTTAATTGTGGGATGGACACCACATTCCTACAAGAGCTGACAGTAAAATCCAAGCATGTATCAGAAGCCAAAGCATCATCTGCAGAGCAGTCCGTGAGAACAGAGGAAAATCGGTGTACGGAGTGTAGATGCAAGGAACGCACTCGGGTCCTGCAAATACATCCCTTGTGTTTGGAGACCTCTACAGACTGACGAACGTAACCGCGCTTGCAGACAAGCAGTTTCTCACAGGGGAGATTTGTGTGAAAATCCCCGTGGGAAGCACAGTGCTGGGCTCCTCACTGAGCACTTCTGTCACTCCATGAACAGCAGGAGAAGGGCCTGGGGACAAATGACCGAGAGCAGGACAAGGATTGTAACGGCTTAGGGATAGGTGCAAACACTGCCTGTTGTACAACCAAATGGTTGACAAATGCATGAGCAGGTCTGCTAATAAGAGATTTGATAATCACCAAAATGTCACGCTAACGAAGAGCCCCTGCAGCTAACCAAGCTGTCAGACCATCAGCTCATTTTCTGTGCCGTGTTTTTCTTTGCTGTAACCCAGCAGCATGCAGTCAGTGTGCCTGGGAAAAGCGATGCCACTGAGAGCCAACCGCCCACCTCCAACAGCTGACTTCAGACGTGTTCCCACTCCCCTCCTCCTTGTTAAGCAGAGGTGATGATGGCTCCCAGGAACGGCACAACAGGCAGAAGGCAAACAAGGCCCACCTGTACAACCAGCCCCTATTTGGGCACAATTTGCTGTGTTTGCACCTTTCCCAAAGCTTTTACTGCTCTCACCAAAAGGAGTCAAACTGAATTTTGGGAGCACTCAGCATCTCCATAGTTGCTATCCCCAAAAGCAGAGCAGTCAGTACCTTCACCATCCTCAAGAGCTCAGCCATCTCTCCAAAAAATATTTCTGCTACTTTTTGTCCTCCTGCAGGGCAGCCCTGCAGAAAAACTATAACTCCAGCACTGCTCACCAAGCACCACTGTTAGCAGCAGGGCAGTGAGCTCAGCACTTGCTGCTGCTGCTGGCTTCAGAAGCTGCAGTGGGAGCTGTTACAGAGCCCAGCTGGGACATCGCCCTGCCAGGACAGCTACATGTGCAGATCTGTGGGCAGCGCTTGGTTTCATGAGACAGAACCAAAACTTCCAGCAGCCTCTCCAGAAGCTGTGACTCGTGCTGGTGTCTGTGCTGCAGGGATGAGGTGGGCACTGGGCACAGAAAGGAGCTGCTATTTGCTCTGCTTCCACCTCTCTGCACAGCATCCTCTGCCTCCTCAGCAACTTCATTGAATCATAGAGTGGAATCAGTACGGTTGGAAAAGAACTCAGATTGCCAAATCCAAATCCAACCCATCCCCACCATGACACCAAACTGTGTCCCTCAGCACTTTGCAGCACTGCCATCTGAAGCACAGAGCTCTGCTCCAGTGCTCCCAGCACATTTCCTCATCATGAGCACTTTGCTTTTGCAGGAGATCAAAGGGGCAAAACCCAGCCTGGGACCTGGTTTTACAGCCCCAGGAGAGGCTCTTGGCTTAGATGCCTGTTGGATTGAGTTTTAAGTCATCTGCCAAGGGCACCAGGGCCTGGGATAGCAGCTCTCCTTCTGCTTAGCTGCTGGAAACAAAGCAAACACATTAAATAACGTCAGCACCATGGCCCATAGCACGAGGAGTTTTCAACCACAAAAGCCAGGGATTCCTACAGGACCATCCAGGGAGAATCAAGGCCTCCCAGGCATGAAGGGGTGGCCAGGATGTGCCTTTGGTGCATTGACCCTGTGAAAACGGGTGCACAGCAACCCTTCCCTTCCCTGGCACAGCTTTGCCCAACCATATACTAACAAATGCTGATGCAAACTCCCATCTCTAGTATATATCAACTTCCATTTCATCACAACCTGTTTCTTGGTGCCTTTCCACACCAGGAAACATCTGACAAAAGCGCTCTCATTCCACTCCCAGATCCCTACTTTGTTTCCAGCAGGGAAGGGAACTGCTCTGAGCTCAGCACAGTGGCATCCCAAACCTGCTGGCCCCGTCCAGGCTGTGAGAAAAAAAAAAAAAGAAAAAAACGGTAAACATGAAAAAGAAAAAGATTGCACAGACTTTGCAGCAGAAAGGGCTGCTGTTATCTCCTCCAGCTTCAGGAGCCCACATTCTTGCTTTGTGTCCCGTTGCTCCCACCCTGCCTCCATCACATCACAGCTCGGGATGCTCAGTGAATGAGTAGGGCTGGATGAGCTTTGCATGCCCGAGTGGGCTGACCCTGTCTGGGGAGCAGGATTTGCTGCTCACCATCACCCAGCACTAAAAAGTGACCTCAGGCTGCTGTCTCTGCTAATCCCCAGCTGACAGCCCTATATAGACTCCCTTACCCCGGCTGCACACCCACATCTGCTGCACAGAGCAGGAGAGCAGGATGGCACTGCGGGTAAGTGCTGGGGATGTGCTTAACCTGCACATCCCAAAAATGTACTGGAAATGGGAAATGGTGACAGAGAAAGTGGAGGGGTGTGAAAGAACTGAGCTATGGGAAGGGAGAGCCAGGAAAGGAGCTGCCAAAGCTGGAGAGATTTTTCCCAATGAGTTTGGGAAGGGCAATGCTCAGAAATGCAAGATCATAAAGAGTGCTAAGAAAAGTGGGATGAAATGGCAAGCCCTTCTTATTAAAATGAGTTACTTAATAAAACTATGAATTATTCAACAAAGAACATTTTCTAGCTTGTTCTATGCACATTTAACACTGAAAATGGGGGGGAGCTGGTGGAATGGGATCAGAAAGGAGATCTTGGGATGTCATCTATATAACACTTATGGGGATGGGCTGGATGCCACATTACCCTGCTCCTTTGTCAGTCCCTGCCTTTCACATGCTGCTTCAAAGCATCACTGAGGATTCCACAGATTTTGCATTGTCCAGGCAGGCAGAAGGTGCAGGTGCCTCTGTGCCAGGCAGGATTTCTGCCTGGAGGTCTTCTGTAAAGAGCTGGGTGGCAAATACAAAAGAAAATCCTGAGAAGGGAACAGAGGCTCAGGCTTACTTAGGAGCAAGAAAAAGGCTTGAGGAGAGAGTGTGTGGGAAGGGGGATGGAGGAGAAGAGGATCAGAGATACGGAGCAGTGGCTGGGGATGGGCTGTGATGTGCTGTTCCCCACCGTGCCCTGCTTTGCCATCACCTCCTGGCGGCAGTTCGAGGCTCTGTATCCAGAGGGGATGTGTCCCGGCTGGAGCGTCGTGGTCAAGGGTGAAACCAGCTCCAGCACCAGCATGTGAGTACAGCCGTGCTCTCAGCTCCTCCAGAACAGCAGTGCTGCTCCACGGCTCTCTGCATCCCTTTCTCTCGCTTTTATAGGTTTGAAATTAATTTCCTCAGTCATCCCGGAGATCAGATCGCTTTCCACTTTAACCCCCGCTTCGCCAGCTCCAGAATTGTTTGCAACTCCTTCCTGGCCAACCACTGGGGGAAGGAGGAGGTGAACAAAACCTTCCCCTTCGAAGCCAAGGAACCCTTCCAGGTACCCCCGGGTCACACCGTGGACGTCCGTGGGTGGGGCAGGATTGTCCCAGCCAATATTGGGGTGGTCCTCAAGGATCTGCCTTCACCTTTCCAGCCAGCACTGTATCCAGTGAGGTCCCCTTTCTGAATCTACCTCCTGTCAGTATTTCTTTTGTCCCCACTATTTTGCTGCTGATTTATAGCCAGCTCTGGCACAGACACGCACAGCTCCAGCAATAATCCCTGGTGCTTTTGTCATCAGTTCAAGCTTTGCATTGTCACCAGTTTCTGCTATCACAAAGAAAACAACTCTATTATTCTTCTCTTTTGCCCAAAGAAGAGATGACCTGTTCATGTGTCAGCTGGGGGAGGATTTGGATGCACATTCCCAGATCTGAGTGCTCACCAATGTGACAGCAGTGAGGTCTGGGGAGGATGTGTCCACCTGGTGAACGTAACACAGTCTCTCTTTCAGGTTGAAATCTATTCTGACCAGGATTATTTCCACATTTTCATTGATGAAAACAAAATCCTGCAATACAAGCATCGGCAAAAACAGCTTTCATCCATCACCAAGCTGCAGATTCTCAATGATATTGACATTTCTTCAGTGGAAATCACCAAACGAGGCCTTTACTAGCAAGAACAGTTGGGATAACCTCACCAGCCACTCCTCCTTAAGTTCCTGATCCAGCTGGGGGCCACATCCTCCACATCTCCACCCATCATCAGCCAGCCAGATAGCTGCAGCACATCCTTGCAGTGGAAATGATGGTCACAGCCATTGCATGCCACAGCACTATAGCAGCTTATAGCCCACATCAATGAAGACATTCTGCCCCTGTAACCTAAAGTGCACAATGCTCTTATCTTTGCTGTTAGAGAGACTGACAGATCACTGCTTCATATCAAAATCTGCCTTGAATAGCCTGGATATTTTAATGCTGCCCTAGAAATTGCATTTGCCCTGGAGTAGGATGCAAATTAGTGCTAGTCCTCAGCTGGCTGCATGGCAATGGATGCAACGTGTATGGATGTTACCAATGGAAAGGGACAGCTCACTGCAGGAGCTGGGTTAAAATGCCACTGTATTTGCCAATAAAATCCAACTAAGAAATCCCTGCTGAAACATCCCTCACTGGGCAGATCAATTGAGTTGTTTGTTCCCTGCAAACCTATAGGCGTGCAATAGGTCTGAGCAACAATCAGTGCATGGGGCAGGAGGACACAGGTTGGGGGTTGCTTTACTCTGCACTGGGAAAGCACTGCCCTTTTGCTCTGAGGGTTAATAAAGTCCTTTCTATGTAGGCCAAAGTGATAAGATGCAAATTGCAAGATATTTCCAGAAGATAAGTTCCACAGAGATGTTTGCTCAGCCTGTGTCCTGCCAACACCAGCCTTGTTAGACAGACCTTGGGAGTTGGTGTAGAGGGTCAAAAAAGGGTAAAGCTCATCAGAGCACATAAAGGAACATGGGCCCTCCAGCACGCAATAGAGACTCCAAAAACAAAAAAACAGTCCACGCTGCTGGACTCCAAATACAAAAGAACATCTTCAGAAGCCAAGGTCTAGAAGCCTGTGAGTTCAGAATGAACAAACTGCCACTCATCCTGTAGATGTTCTGACTTTTCTCTTTGCCCTGCCCGCTTTCATTTCCTCCTCTTTTTCAGCTGCCCTTCATATAGCCTTACACCCTGTTCTCTTTGCTGTTCCCTCTTCCTTGAAAAGGGAAATCTCTCTGATTCCTTGACCAAGACACTGCAGGCAAAGATTATGTTATTTTTACTGTTTTAATTGCACACATTAGAAGCATAATGTCACAGTGTTAAATCTGAACAGGAACTCGCTCCAAAAATGCAATTACAGCTGCCCCCAAATCACTCAATTGTTTCTCAGACGTAAGGCAGACCACATTCCTGATGGCAAGCAATAACACAGACGGTCCCCGCCTTGCAGTCCCTTCCTTCAGGACAATGACATTTAGTAACAAAGCAGCCCTGACCCATCCTTGTCTTTGGATGGGATCACCAAAGGCCATAGTTGCACTCCAGACTTCTCAGTGCTTAAATTGGCCATTCCCAACTCTTCCCTCTGTTTATAGTCTCGAGGACTTAAAAAGAAGAGGTGACCGCGTAGCCGCCAACCACAACACAGGATGCCACAAAGCTGACATTTATGAGTCTGCTGAAAAGTTTATCATTTTCTTCCAGACATAAAAAACACCAACTGGAACTGGGCCTGTTCTCACGGTGGAGAATGCAATGGGAACTAAAAATAGTCCCAACCAGTACCTCTTCCCCCCAAAGAGAGCAGAAATTACCATTTGGAAATGACAACTGTCTTGGTGGCAAGTTGGGAGAGCTTGGAGATGGTGAGACTTCCTTTGGAATAAATCCATCACCACTGAGGCAAAACAGTTGCCAGGATCTGCCTTAAATTGTAGTTGTGATGCCACTCAAGGGCCCTACTCCTCCAGCCATCCCTTCAGTAAGACAGACACAAACGCAGGCAAAAATAGTCCTGTTGGGATCTCTGTGTCATACTTCTGATAATGCTGAACTGCATTTGAAAGAAATTGTTCTTTTTATTCATGCCTGTTTGGGGGCTGATAGACAGATCATTTTTCACAGAGGAAAAGTGATGAAACAATTTATGAGGCTAATACTTGTACCTACATAGCTGCAAAATCCATTTACAGCCACCGCTGCAGTAATACTCCACAATTTCATTTTTCTCCCTAGAAGCGAGCACAAAAGACCTCGGACAAACAGAGCAAAAATATTTCAAGTACAAACAAATCAAGAGATGCCACACCAAATCAGGCAGCAGCAGGGATTGTGCCACATCCGCGAGCACCTTCCCCACAGCTGGTGCCAGCGGCTGCTCTCACTGTGTCACCATCCACACTGAGCAAGCCCAATCTCTCCTGACACATCCACAGCACTACTGCAGGGCTTTTTACTTAGGCTTTTATCTGCTGCCTCCTCTAGCCATAACAGTCCCAAGGGTAAAAGGGTCTTTGGAGCAATGTGGTTCTAGGGAGCTACAGGGCATCCCTGCAAGGAAAGCTGCAGGGCTGGCTGGTTAGGAGAAATGTTCTCTAACTCTCTCACCCTCATCTGCCCCTTAAGGAGAAACTCCAGGGAAAGATGAAGCCACACCATTAAGATGATCAGTTAAATTCTCAGGAGGGGGTTGACACATTAGCTCCACACAGAGGCACTGTGTGCTGGTGTTGAGCTGATCAGAGAGAACCAGCCCATGCTCCTTCCATGTCTCAATCAGTTTTCCTATTCACCACCTGGGACTGTAGAGGGAACTGATGGAGAGGCACTCTTGCCCAGCTTGGAAAGGTCCTTTTGAAGAGGAGGGAGATGAATATTTAACTGCCCAAGCTCAGTACTTTTGTTGGGGCCAAGCAGCACAGGAGCCAGGTTGAAATGTTTCCAGAGAGAGAAGTTACTGCAGGAGGGGATGGAGACTGTCTTATTGGTTCTGCTTATAAAGCAGAAGCTGCTGCCCTTATGGCTTACACCAACCAGGGAGGGCCAGCAGGGAGAGATGCCCTTCAGGAGGCAAAGCCAGGAGAGGCAGTGACCCCACAGAGGAGCTCTCCCATTCCCACTTGTGTTCCTCGTTTGGGCTGGATTTGCTCAGTGAGCAGTGAACTGCTCTGGCTTGTCCCAGATCAATAAGAGGGAAAATAGGCTCATAATCCCTCGCGCTTGAGCACTGCCAGAACTCCCAGGGCCAAGGTCTCCTCTGGCAGCATCTCAGGGCTGCGGATCTCCTGTGGAGCATCTGATGGTGCACAATTAGCGAGCACTCTTCAGTGCTGCTGACACTGCTGGCAATCATCACACACCCTGGCGGCAGCACCGGTGATTTCCTCATGGGCCGGTGAGCAAAAGGCTCCCACGTCAGTGACAGTCACATCCTATCAGCAGGGCAGCAGCCTGGACACATCAGGCTGAGTGATGCTGTCTCTGCCTTAGCAAGGGACACACGAATATCAGACACTGGGTCCTGCCCTGAGATGAGGCAGAGTGCCAGTGCAGTGAGAAAGATGTCTAGAAAAGAATTAAAAGGGAAAAAGTGGTGCAGGTTGCATCTGCTTCCCATTTGCTTTCTGACTTAATGTCCATTTTTCTACAGAAAAAAAAAAAAGCCACCACAAAACTCTTTGATGCTGGTGGTTTAGCTATGCAGCCATGGCTGGAGGGCAGCTCTGGTGAAGGGAGGCAGAAGGGCCATTGGGAACTGTTTAGCTGACAGATGAGTTTTCTGCCATTTCAGTGCTTCCATGAGCATCCCCTGAAGGAGGGCAGAGCTGTGTGAGGCATTGTTCCTTGCCACTGATTCAATGCAGTCGTGCTGTGGTGCAGCTCAGTGACCAACCCACATCTACAGCACCTCACTTCTCACCTCCCCAAGGCGTCAGTTCTCCCAGCACATTGCCACACATACAGCCACCAGCAAGAGCAGAACTTAAGAGCCACGACTTTCTTCTTCACGTCTCTGAGCCCTTACCGAAGGGAGTGCTTATTCAACATGTGGGCTGTCAAACTCATAGATGTCTGCCAGAAGGGCAGATTCAGCTTTCCTGAAGAATACAGAAGAAACAAATAAACAGAACAAGAAGAAAGGAAGAATAGCAGCTCTGTTTTAACTGGGAGAGAGAATTCTGAGGCACTATGCAGGCCCAGACTGCAGCTGAAAAGGAGACTCCGCAGAAAAGCAGAGAAATGCTTCTTTTCCTGCATTTAAAGGGAGCTTCATGAAGTCACTAACTCACACCACCTCCATCCATAGCCAGCTCGGACGGGAGCACATCTCAGCTCTGATCCTGCATGCATAGCGGCAGGTATCAAGTTGCAGACATTAAATGCAGGCTGCAAAGGGATTATTTTCTGAAAGAAAGGATCTGCTATAGAGGTTAAAGCATTGGAGGCTGATGGTATTGCTTTACTTGACAGATGAGTTATTGTATACCTCTGCTGCATAAGAAAAGAGTGACAGAAATTAACCCTACTTATGAATTTGCTGACCTTCCTGTTCTGCAGTCTGTTCAAGACCCTCTTGCTAGAGCTGAACACAATCTATCATGTTATGCCTTCAAACTGCAAGAATACAGCCAGCCAAAGCTCTGACTTGCCCAGAGCACAAGAGCCAATGGAGACCAGGTAGCTTTCCCTGCCTCCATCTCAACCTGTGTTACCTGGCTGGGTCTCCCAGAGCACTTTGCAGCTTCAAACTAGAAAGAGAAGAAAGTGTCACAGCACCTTTATAGAGGTGAGGAAACCAAGGCACGTGGTGGGAAAAGAGCAGGGAGGAAAAGGGAGTGACCAGGTGCTTTTGCTTCCAGCCAAGTGCTCTCTGCAGCTCTTGACCTATCCGTGTAGCTTATGTCTTAGTTCAGCTGAGACTTTCTGTGACATATGAGAATTTGCCTTAATGCAGTAACAAATTCCATGCTGAACCCCTCTATGATCTGTAACACAGCCCAGGCTGCGCAGACAAGCCAGCCCCTTGTCTTAATAAGCTGAGCTTGACGAGTCATCCATTCACCTGTACATAGGTATCATTGCTATGGTCTCAGCTGCTAACGAGTATTTCTGTAACTTCTTTACTTCCTGCTCCACCCTAAACAATGGCCAAAGAGCCACAAGCATCCCTTCATTCTTCCCCTTCCTCTCCTAAGTGAAGTTTAGCGATTGCTGTGTGATTTATTGCACATGAGATCGCTGCTTCTGTAGAGTGGGAGTAACACCGAAGTGCAGCTACCTCACCTCCTGACCTCAGCCTCTGCACTAAACTCCATCTACTGTCATATTTCATTTCCTGAAGTCGCTTTGTGCTGTGAGCACACACTGGAACCAGAGAGACAAACGTGGTCAGTGGTGGTGAGGGAGCAGCGATCGTACCTCCAGTCAATTGCCCGAGTCGTTCCAGATGAGTCACTGCACAATGAAAGGTTATGCATTATTACTGGAGAGAAAAAAAAAAGTATGCAGCTGATCCTGACAGAGCTTAACCAACGCTCGGAGCCTCTGACTGATTTTGTATGACTCCAGTTGTGATATTCCTCTAAAAGGCTGCCCAAGATAAATAGAAGCTCGCAGATTTTTTTTTTCTTACCTTGTCAGAACATCAGAGCAGATTGCTGGAAAGGATTCAGAGCCACGATGTCACCTCTCCCTGCTTCCCAGCTGATCTCCCTCTGAATCCACACAGCAGGAATCCTAAGAGCTTCCTAGCCAAAAACACAAAATAGAGGAAAGCTTATTATTGCCCACACCACCTGATGGCCTTGTTGCAAAAGCGCTCAAGCTCTAAATCTCACTGTAACCCGATCCCAGCCTCATCAGCCAAGAGTGAATCTCCGTGCTCAGACAGACAAGCTCCCTGCTATTGTGTTCTCTAAAACCTTTACCTGCTCTGCTGGCAGCTGTGGGCCCTGCAATTGCTTTTCTCAGTGCCTTTCCTTCCGGCCCCCACGCGTTTCTCCTCTGCTTCTGCAAGCAGCTGCAGCTGGGAAAGGCAAACTGTGGCAAATTTAAAGCCTTTGTCAGACTTCCCCCAGCTGGCAATCAGCTGATGGAGCCAAGAAATCTCTGTCATGTAAAGACCTCTTTCTTATCTTATTGCAGCCAGCTACTGAGCACTGGGAAAGCAATGTTTTTGTGCAGCTCTGGCAGCACTCAGGTGTAAGGAAAGACTGCCTCAGCAGCCTCTGCTCTGACATGGTTTATCTGCCTATCCTCTCAGCAGCTGCACTGGCAAACTGCTTTGACCAAAACAGGCTGAAATGGAGACTCACAAACCTGATCAGACCAGCAGGTTTCCACAATTAGCCAAATCTGCTTAATTTGGGCCTTGCTTTCAGACTGATCCTGATTTTTCCTAAGGATTGATGTTGCCTCTTCTGAGCAAAAGAGAGAGACCTCCACACCAAATGTGAGCAGGGAGAAAATTCCCTGGCCTATGAAGTAGGGATCTCTCCTAAAAACCACTTTGCTGTGCAGTCACAGAATCATTTGAGCTGGAAGGGACCCCTAAAGTCCATCTGGTCCCACTCCCTGCAGTGCATAGGGACACACACACACACACACAGCTCCATCAGTGCTCAGATCCCATCTCCTGACCTCAGATGTCTGCAGGGATGGGGCATCACCACTGCTCTGGGCAGCCTTTGCACTGCCTCAAATCTCTTATCTCCGTTCATTGACTCTGACTCTCCTTTTAATGAGACAGGGTTTTATTTTAAACAGGGTCCCATCAGGGCTACATTCTGCTCTGTGCTCCCCAGTCTGCTGCTTGCCTGTCCTTCTGTACGAATCAAAAGCAAAGATATCAGAAAGATGGATTTTTGATCACACTTATGCCAAAATGGTGTTTCATTGTTCTTGAGTGAGCGCACATCATATCAGACAAATTCTTCTGTACAAAATTATCTTTTCATTTCAGCCACTACATTTCTGAAGCACTCAATCTAAGAGGCTTCCAATAACAAAGACAGAAGATAAAGAAGTTGGCACGTATCTGTTTATAAAAACAGACAGCAGTGAATATTCCCAGGCAGAATAATGCACACATTCCTCATTTAAAATCCTCAAAAGGGCCCTAGAAATAGTTTAAACATTTCATTCTGTGATAGAGAGAGGAAGAACAATGAGAGAAGAAAGGTTTTCTCTCTCCTTAGACTAATTACAAACAATAAACATCAATTCCCAGTTGTTCTTATTTGTTTTGCAATAGTAGTTTCTAATATTCTGAAGTGCACCTGACATCTTTTGTGCCTTGTCTTGGTGCATGCATCGGCCTCTTTTCTCTTCTCTCCACGTCAATGTGCTGACATCAGTGAACTCCACATCGGAGTGATGCTGAGGACCTGGGCCACGGTGCCTGAAAAGTCCTTGTGTGCCCACCAAAACCGCGATGCCGGTGCAGCTCTGCCACGGGTTCAGAGCAGCCACCAGCAGAGGGAGCGGCAATCTCAGCTCACACGTCCCCACAATTCTGTGATTCTGTGAAAACTGACAGTGCTGGGGATTTGGGGAGTTTTCTTTTTGGAAGAAAGAGTCTCAGAGGAGGATGGACACTTTTTTGTCCAATATCAGTAGCAAACAATAACGCTGCTGCTTTGGCCCGATGGTAAAAGAGGCAGAGAGACAGCATCACTGCCGTGCACATCGAGCATTAGAAATGCACAGGACTCCTGGGCCCATGGGTGGCAGCAAGGAGTGTAGGCAGCATGGACAGGTTTAAGGGCTCCTGAGCTTCCTTTCCCCATAGTCCTCCCAACTCTGTGCCAAAGAATGAGGGATGGGAAGAGTAAGTGGCAGTGATGAACCACCCTGGGTTTTATCCAGTGCTTTTCATGAGCAATCTGACCAGCTCCTTCCAGTAAAACCGAAGGGAATCGATTTCACTGGTGCTAGCATTTCCCAGCTCACTGTCTTTTCTCCAAGTCAGTGGCCCAGCTGCCAAAACACCCTCCTTTACTTAGCAGGGAGAAAGTTTTACAAGGGGAAGGTACACAAGCTGCTGTGAAATTTCTCCATTTTCACGCTCACAAGGAGCCAGTCCATCTGGTCACCAGTACAAGCTGGAAAAGCCTCAGGATTTCTCTAATGTATACCAGTTCTTGGGCCTGGCACAGTCAGAACACAACAGCACAGCTCCTGCTCTTGCTGCAGTGGGAGTGGGGAGGTTTGTGCTGAGACAGCTATGCTAAATTTACCCCACTCTGGGACTGTGACGTGGAGTGAGCTGAGCAGGTTTGGGCAGACGTGCCAGGCCTGGGAGCTGCTGTGAGTTTTTCTGAGATTCTGGCAAAGCCCCAGAGTGGCTGACTCACTCTTCCTCTCAGGTCAGATCTTCACAGCTGTAACTCCGGTGAGACCAGTGGGTTATTTCTGATGCACACTGCTGTAGGATCAGAGTCCAGTCCGTTGCACTTGCTGGTGAAGGATGGCTTCTGTTTCCAGTGGGCTTCCTTTAGCTTTTACTCTAAAGCCACTCTGTAAGAGGGGAACCAGTGTGAAAAGAGTATGGCATTTTCTTTTTGCTGGAGATTCCCCATCTTGAGCTATTTGGTGACTTTGAACTTGTTGTAGTCAACAAACTTGTTATAGTTAATGACCTTGTCCTTTCTAACTGCTGTATACTCTATATAGATTTGTGATTTGTTGTTAGGGATGACTTGGCACTTGTGAGCTGTGCCAATGGATGCAAAAGCAGATTTATCCTAATTATATCGAACCACTGATTAACTTAGTAATCTAGCCTAGAGCTTCCTTAGCAGTAAATCGTGCAGGTTACAAATAAAGTGCATGGGGAAAAAAATAATAATATAACCTGCATTTATTAGACTGAACAATTGCAAAGCAATAACCTTAACAAAAGGTCTTCATAGAGTCCCAGTACCTTTCTTTGCTCTCTTCTCTTGCAGTCTGTTAATACCCTTCTAAAACTGTCGACTTAAACACCTCCATTCTGTTGTTTTCTGCATGTAATGACAAATCTGCTTTAGAAGGCTGAGCAGTGGCTGGCAAGGACTCAGATGCATGGAGGTTTCCAATTGCTAGCTTCGACCTGGACTCTATTGTTGCCTGTTTGCAATAGATCAATTTGGTTGTGGAGCAGCTGCGAAATTGCAGCAGATTTTAGGTATCCATGTGAGTATCTGGACAATTCGCTGCATAGAATAATGTGTACCTTATGCTCTGGGCAACACACTGTAATTAGTTTATAGAAGTTGTTTGTCTCTGAAGATCTATAAATACACATACATAAAACTATAAGGGAATAAACAGTCACATGCCTAAAGCAAATGCATTCTAATGCAGAAGAGCTTTATATGCCGATCACATTCCCCCACCCAGTGTTGTTCCACTGCTGATCTTTCTTTCACTTCACGTCAGGGTGACCAAAAATATTTACTTTCTTCATTCACATAAATAGACTAAAATGGATGGAGAATTTCCCACTGAAATCAAGGGCATTCACCACTCAGTGACAAAAAGCTTCCACTAGGCCTTCGCTTGTTACCTTGCTCTCTCTCAGAGAAAGCAATGAAAGAAAATACAAAATAAACTCCTCAGGCAGAAGTATTGGATCCTTTTGTCAAACATTTTCTTCAGTGATTCACTGGCATCATCTGATTACCTCCAAGTCTAAAGCTTCATTTAACAAACTGACTTTGTTCCCCAACCTCGCCCTTCAACTTTTTTAAGTGACATTTTCTACAGAACGTTTGTCCCATTCCTCCAGTGTAAGAGAAAAGACACAAAGCTGTGTTTCTTCCCGAGTTCCTGTTGCTCAAGTGGGTTCCCACCAACACATGATACGGTGTTGACCATCGGCTGTCGGCTTCTGCGGGAAGGCGCAAAAGGAGCCTGGAGGATTTGGTCTTATGCCAGAGGTAGGTGCAGAAATGCCTGGATGCATCGCTGCCTTGCTCTGATTCTATGATTCCATGAAGGCCAGGGAACACGCGGGTAGAGGAGAAGCCGTGCCCGCTGCTGCCCATCGGCGGAGCTGTCCCTTCAGCACCACGGAACGGGCACGGGGAGCCCGGCGGGAGGAGCGGCTGGCACTGCTCGGCTCGGCGTAAGTTAGCACGGCACTGCATTGCTTGGCTGGGCATGACTGGGACAGCACGGCCTGGAACAGCTCGGAGCCAGCCAGCAATCCCAGCAGAGGACATGGAGGTGTCCGTGATGGAGGGGGTGCGCAGGATGCACGTGTGTGGGTGCAAAGAGGGAGTGCAAAGGGTAAGCAGGGGGAGCGTGACTGGGGAGTGCAAAAGGAGGAGGTGTGCAGGGAGGGGTGTGCAGGGTAATACGTGTGTGCAGAGGTTGTATGTGCAAAGAGGGTTGTGAGGCACCTGTAGAAAGGTACATGAGGGGAAGTGTGGCAAGGTTAGGGTGCACAGTATGCGTGCAGAGTGTCTGTGTAAGTGCAGGGGATCTATAAACCTGCGTGTGTGCTGGGAGTGCATGCGATGGATGAGGAGTCTGCAGAGGGGTCTGCACGCAGGGTTGTGTGCAACAACGCAGAAGTGTGCGGGAGGGAGGTGGGGGTGTTGCGGCTTGCAGGACGGGCTGAAGGAGGGTTGCGTGTGCTTCGTGCGTGTGCAGGGCTCCGTTTGTGCGTGTCAGCGCAGAGGGACGCGGGTGCCGCTGTGCGCGGGGTGGGCGCAGGGAGCGCGGTGCCGCTGGTGCGTGTGTCCGGGTGCGTGTGTGTATGCGAGCGTGTGTGAGTGTGTGTGTGAGCCCGCGGGTCCTGCGCTGCCAGCACACGGCGGAACGGCCGGCAGAGCGGGAGGATCCCGGCCCGCCGCTGCCCGCCCTACGCCCGGTGAGTGCCGCCGCGCCGCGACGTGGGACCGGGGCAAACCGGGAAGGGGGAACCGGGAGAATCGCGGGGCAGCGGGGACAGACCGTTTTCGGGGCCGGTAGCGCGGGGCATGCAACTTTACCGGGAGGACGGGGGGGTACCTGTGTGGCTGGGGCTGTTCCCCGGGGGGATGCTGTGTCCTCCGTCCTCGTCCCGTCCCCCTGCGGCCATGCACGGAGCCGGTGCCCGCAGAGATGCGCTGCGCTGCCCGGCCCGCCCGCTCACAGCAGCGGCTCAACTAAGTTACCGAGAAGCCATTTCCGACAGGCAGTTTCCCCGGGAAAGGAAAATATCGGGGCATCAGCTCGCTCTCACCCCTTTTCAATGCACTCTCTCTTGCAGACGTGGTCCCAGGTAGACATGGCCGGAGCGCTCAGAGCAGCGTGGCAGGCTCTGCCCTGTTAGCCCCCGGGGAGGCTCAGCCATGAATTCCTCTCCCTCCACCCCCGGTGTTCCCCCCAGCCTGCTCCAATTGTGGCAGGAGGAGAACCAGACCCAGGGCGGGTTCTGGAATGGAAGCCAGGAGCTGGGCTGGGATGAGCTGGAGGAGATGCTGTTCCTCTTCGCCAAAGAGCCCATCACCATCAGCCTGACTGCCATGTACCTCGTGTCCTTCGTGGTGGGCTTTGTGGGGAACATCATGTCCATCAGGGTGCTGACGCGGAAGCGCCGAAGCCGGGTGTCCAGCCTGAGTGCCACCCGCAGCCTCCTCATCAACCTGGCGGTGTGTGACCTCATGGTGGTGTGTGTCTGCATGCCCATCACTGTGGGCAACCTCATCTACAAAGCCTGGGTGTACGGGGACTTCCTCTGCCGGGCTGTGCCCTTCATCCAGGCTGTTTCTGTCTCTGCCAGCGTCCTCAGCCTGACTGTCATCAGTGTGAATCGGTACTACAGTGTGCACAACCCACTCAATGCCCGCTCCTTCTTCACCCAGAAGAGGATCCTCAGTGCCATCCTGGTGGTGTGGTTGCTGTCCTCAGGAATATGCATGCCTCTCATCTTCATGAACAGACGGGATGAGATTGGGGTAGTGGAGGGCTTGCCCCTGGTGTTCTCCATCTGCAGGGAGATTTGGCCTCAGGAGAGGCTAAAACAAGCCTATAACTTTCTGCTTTTCTGTGCCCTTTACTGCCTGCCAGTCCTGTTCAACATGGTCATCTGCTTCCTGACGGTACGCCGGCTGTGGAGCCGCAGCAGCCAGCTGAAGGAGAGCAGTGCCCTGAACCGCTCGCTGCCAGCCTCCAGGCTGAAGATTCGCAAGAAGGTAGCCCAGATGGTGGTGGCCCTAGTCCTGTTGTTTGCCATCTCTTGGCTGCCCGTCTACCTGATGGACATCTGGATCGATTTCAACATCCCCAAGTCTTTGCAGGATGTGACCCCTTCTCCTTGGATCCTGCAGCTCAGACCTTTCGCCCAGTGGCTTGGCCTCAATAATTCCAGTCTCAACCCTATATGCTATTGTTTTGTTGGGAACCTCTATAGATCAGCCAAGGAAATTAAGAGCAAATACCACCAAAGAATGATCTCTCTCTTTAACTTCTCTCTGTCCGAAGGGACAACCCGCTCCTCAGTCCTAGAGCTGTTCTCTTACCAGAGCCCAATGGAGCCTGCAAGGAAAGGGTGTTCCGCCACACCTACCATGGGCAGGAGGGCCCAGGGAGACCCTGGCACTAAAAACAAGTGTGGACACTTGAAGTCTTGCCAGAACCCACCTCTGAACACTGTCTCCAGTGAGAACACTTCCTTATGATTCTGCTCAGGAAGTGCACCTCATTTCCTCCTCTGCATTTAAGGACTCTTAAAAGCTCTTTACGAACCAGATACATTAATGACAGAAAAATAAAACCTTCTTCTAAGCACTCCCACCACCAGCTCAAAAATCCAGACAGGGAAAGAAGAGAAGAATGTGTGGAAAATATAACATATTTTAGCTCAGATCAAATTTTAAGACAAATGATTTCCACTGGGGACAACCAGCTGCACAACCTGTTGCACAACAGGCAGAGCATTTCCCTGATGGGAGGGCTCTCCTCTGCAGCTCCATCTCTGAACATAACAGCAGAGCCATTGGGACGCAGCAGCAATTTGACTGCTTGCTGCTGCTCAGCCTGTGCTGATAGGAAGCAGCCAGGACAGGCACTCTGATGCAAAGATGTCAGCTGTCATCACAAATAGTGAAGAAACGCTAGAAACAGTATCATAAAAAAATTAGTGGGGAATTTCACACACTTTATCACTTTGGATTTCATTGCCTGACCATATTGTTTCACTACACCATACAAATAAATTCTCCTGATGTGAAGAGACGGTGCCAGAAGTGCTGAAGCAACCATTGCCACTCCACATTTGGAAATTCAGAAGGGAGAATATGGCCTTGGAGGTGATGTAGAAAATGCAGTAAGAAAATATTTGTTGGGTATCAGCTCTCTTTTTCTTACAGTTATGTTCCTGTGCACGGAGTGGAAAGAACTGGGCTTCTATTAACATGATTTGCACTTGAAAAAACAGCTTTTTCTCAGCTGTGTCCGTACCAAACAAAGTCATTGGCATGTGAGAATAAAAATAGGAAGTGTTTTATAGCTAATAAAATCAGAAGCAAATAATGCAGTGCTATTTGTCTGGGAAGGAGAGAATCAAAGTGCTTTCTCTCTCTGAGGATCAGAAGTAGGTTAAAACCTATTTCTTCCATCATGTTTTTTGAAAGAGGTCTTCATAAATAAACACTGTATTTTTATTACGTTAGCATTGAAAGACCTCACTAAAGCTTAGGAACCCAATTGAAATGTACATCTGTATTTGTAAGGAAACCTTTTTCCCAAAGATCTCAGAATGAAAACACACCAGACCAGGTAACAGGTGAGAGGGAAAAGCAGCCAGCTGTGACCCACAAAGATGGAAGGAACACAGATCAGCCCCTGCTCTGTGTCTGCACGGGGCTGTGCATGAGGGGCTGTGGAAACGTCGGTGCCATGGTGCTGAGCTCTGGGTGGGAGCTGCAGGAAGAAGGCATTGGGCAGCCCAGGATGGGGTCTGCATCTCATGGGACTTTGGAAGATCGTGAGCTTTCTTATTGCTGAACAATGGAATGATGTCTGGGGAAATAGAGGTCACAGAGCATATCCTCCTGCCTTTTAGGGCACCTTTTGCTCACACGAAAAAAATAAAATAATAGAGATCAAAAATAGCCATGATAGACAGCAGGATTTCCACCTTTTTAATGATTGTGAACGAACATTTTATGTTGCTAATTATCTGCTCGGAAAACAAGAGATTCCTTTTAAATGCAGCACCATCCGCAATTTGTATTCCCTCTTTGTGTGAAGGAGAAAGAAATTACAACAGCCAGCTTTACTTTGCGTGAGGAATGTCTTTTATGTGTTCTGGCAGATGAGATCATCTGCATTTCTGCAGGTGATATAGGAGCATACCCCCTGCTCGGTGTTTCAGCAGCTGTGGAGGAAAACCTGTGAAGATTTTATTTCCTCTTTCAAGGCTCATTTTTAGGGCTGGCACAATGTGCTGGGCTGAGGAGCACTGTCAGCTTGCTGCAGATGTCTGCTGCCCACAGACCAGATGTGACGGCGCTGAGACCTCCCCACCTTGCCCTGACCAACGTGTTTAATCCTGTCTTGAATAAATTGCAGAGAAAGGGACATGGAAATGCTGGCCCAGCTGCATCCTACATGGCAGGCAGCTCTGAGGATGGCTGGATCAAACGATGCCATCAGAGAGGCAAGAAACACACACTGACAAAGCTTCCCATTGGAATTTTATTGCTCCCTCAGCTCATGAGCTGTCTCCTGGGTCCCACTCTGGAGTCCCTCTGCCCTCCATAGAGGCCCAGTGGGGCTGTAGGTTCTCCTGAAGGTTCCTGTGCCTTTCCCTCCTGACAGCAAATGCCCAGGCCCTTTTCCAGCCACACAGACCTCCAAGACACACCGTGACAAATTTCGCTCCTGCTGCACAGGGTTATCTCTTCACGCTCTTCAATGTACTGTTTTTCAGTCTTGTTCAGTGTTCATTTTCCTATAATAAAGACAAACTGCTCAGTTGAACTCCTCTTGGTCTCCTTCTGTCACCCCTTCTCCAGCTGCTTCTCCCCTGTTTGCTCTGAAGAGAAATGTCCAAATGTCCCCACACCCCTCCACTGTCCCTGCCCAGCAGTCAGTTTCTCCCAGTCTGTTTCCTATACCCTTCTCTGATTCCAGTCCTGGTGCAATCTGCCTCTTTGTGCAGAACCATTCATTGCTCAAGGAGCCCTGGTTCCTTTTACCCAGCAGCTGCCAGGTAGTGATGGATTTTGGCCACCGTCACCTTGGGTAAATGAGGAGTGGTGACGTCAATGCAGAAGGCACTACATCCCGTGAGCAGCTCTGGTGGTGATGCCATTAACCTGAGCCAGGCTGTGCAGCACAGCAGTGCCTGTGTGTCTCACATGGGTTGAAATCTCTGCTTCCTGGGAATCAACTTCCCCTCACACCCCAGCTGATAAAACACCTTATGTTTATGCCCAAAAAGACATGGGTTGTCCTCCAGGCCATGCAAGCATCTTGTTCTGAATGGACTCACAGGCATCCAAGGTCTTGTGGCCCTTTGGGGAATGGGAGCAGACACAGGTCTGGGTGGTGAATGAGGATGGTTTCCTCAAAGGAGCCCAAGGCAAAAGCCTCACACTTGGTGTGCGGTTGAGGAAATGTGTTTCTCTCTAAATGCACCCAGACAGACTGGAAATGGGAATTTGAAATGTCTCGAAGACAGTGTTTTCCCTCAGCAATGCTGCTAATGCATTTCAGTACCACTCTTACCCCCATGGGTCCTTCTTTTCCTCTTTGCCATCCCAGTCAATACAAGCATTTTACCACTCCATCAAAATAGCATATTTAAAACAACTTCACTTGAATCCTTTTGCTGCTGTATGAACTTACAGATAGCCACTATTTGCTAGCTCTTGCTGGGAATATCCCGTGGTCTCCTCTTGTACTGTCAGTATTGTCTCAATAATGCTATGGATTTATTCTCTGCCTGTGAACCACTGGAGAGAGAAATAAATAAATAGAGCCTTTCATATGAGGCATCACAGAGGCATGTAAAATCATGACTGGTGTGTAGCACTCATATGGAGAATGATGAATCACTCCTTATAATAATACACCCCAGGAAGCCAATGCTATGATGAGGTGCATGCAGAAGGATGAGGCAGCCCCTCGTGCCCCACTGCCAGCAGGGCATATGCTGAGTTGGGAGCAAAGTGAGGGACTCAAGAGGAGACAAGAGAGTTCCCAGCAAAAAGGGCCATCGGGGGCTATGAGAAGCAGTGATGCAATATGTGGCAGAAAGGGTGCAGTGTCCATAACTTTCACTCTAAGTCCTTCCCAACACAGCTCCTGACTTAGCATGGGAAGCAGGATGCAGGGCTCCCTGCAAGTTAAGATTATAGAATCAAAAAGGTTGGAAAAGACCTCTGAGATCATCTAGTCCAGCCATCAACCCATCACCACCATGCCCAAGGCCGGACCGTTTCCTACAGTTACTTTTATGTCCCTATGTAAAAAAATAAGCTAAAAATAATTTAAAAAAAGACCTACATTAATCTGAGTCCTGTTTTAAAGAGCAGAAGGAGAGCAGAGGCTGATTTCAGATCAGGCATAGATCAGTCAAAAGTAAAACTTCCCAGGACACAACCACCCGGAGGTAGGACACGTTCTTGCTGACACAACACTGAGAAATGCTCACACAGCCGCTTGCAGAGCAGCACCCGAGGAGTCCCAGCAGACACACACAGTGCCTTCTCCAATGCAACAAACCAGCAACAGCAGCTCCAGCCTGCTTTTAGCTTTCATCACAGCCCTCTTGGGGGCTCAGCGCTTTGTTGCAACAATCCTGAGCATCCCAGAGAGAAGAATTTCCTCTGAAGGGAAACTCCTGCCTGTTGGTGCCTTGCAAATATCCTTTTTAATAAGGGTGGTGAGGCAGTGGCACAGCGTGCCCAGAAAGGGGATGGAGCCCAATCCATGGAGACACCCAAGGTTGGGCAGGATGGGGCTCTGAGCACCTGATGGAGCTGTGGGTGTCCTGCTTCACTGCAGGGAGTTGGAGTAGATAGCCTGTATAGGTCCCTTCCAACTCAAACCATTCTGTGATTCTATGATTCTATCACATATACTGATGTTGGGACTCAACATAGGTTGGAATCTGGCTGTTGAATCATCCACACCACCAGCAGCCCCAGGCACAGCTCCGCTGCCTCCTTCCACACCCCAGCACCTCCCATACAGCAACACCTGAGCTGTCCTGGCTCAAAATAACTAAAGGAATGGGGAGAGCACAGGAGATGTGTGGGTTTCCATCACCCTGCAATGTCCTTGTTGTGGAGAAGCAGAGAGTGGAAGTTTTCCAGGGAAATTCAGCGCAGCTCAGTTAACCTCTGTGATTATATTCAACACAAAAATAAGTCCTGGAGACTGCTGGAAAAACAAATGAGAGCAACTATGAGCAAGCACACCTAAGGAGACCACCTCAGCCCTGCAGCAAAGAGGCAGCACACGCAGCAGCGCTGCTTGCCTGGCAGACACAGGGCTCATGGAAGGCTTTCCAAACTCTATAGAAATGAATGGTGAGGTCAGTCCTGGGCATAGGGGCTGCAGTGGGTGCTTCTTCCACCTGCTGAAGGCCTTCAGGCAAAGCCCCAGCACTCAGAGCCAACACAAGGCCATGCGAGGTCAGCACAGCACTGCTGCTGCTGCTCCCAGTCATCCCTTACAGCCCACAGCAGTGACTTCATGGGGCCTAATTTAGAGACTGCACTCTTAGCTTCAGTCAGATGGGAAAAGCTGATTTGGGGCAGAGGGCGAAGCAAACATTCTATTTGGAGAGGAAA